ACACACACACACACACACACACACACACACACACACACACACACACATGAAAAGCCAGTATTCTGATAGGAAGTTCACTGAGATCAGCTTTCGTGCTTGGATTTATAACATCACCTACCAGGACTGAGAAGTTCCAGTGCCTGGCTGATACGTACTAGTAGAATGAACAAGTGTAAAAAAGTAATTGAAGCATGGCGTTGGAAGTCAGGAGAATGTTACCGTTAGGAAAGCAGGAGATGACTGGGCGGGAGCCTGAGGCGGTCTGGGGAATGCCTGGTAGTGATCTGTGTCTTAGCATTGAGGTAGCTATGCTGTTATGTTCACTCTGATAACTCATTAGGCTGTATACTCAGTATCTTTGCACATTCCTGTGTGTATTTTAACTTCAGTTTTTTTAATTTAAAAAAAAAAGGAAAAAGTTTGATCAGAAAAGACTTTCTTGGGTGGAAGATGTAGATTTTGTTGATTTGAAGGTCAGTAGACAAAGAGAATGTAAAACTGGGAACTCTTGGCCCTGCCATTTTTTTTATTTTGTGTTAATTCACAGCTTTGCACATGACGGGTAATGTGGCCCAGGCTGGATAGTAGTCATTCAGCTGTTCTCAGATACTCCAGGTCTGTTTCTGGGTACTGCCCCCCCTACTTTTGAAGATAGGCTTAGCCATGTGACTTGCTTTGCCAATGAAACATCAGTGGAAGGGACATGTATCATTTCCATGTAGGAACTTTAAAAACCAGTGTGTGGTTCACCGTCCTCTTCCACCATCATGGCAATCATGGAAGCAAGTGATGAGATGCACTTTCCATCAGCCTTGGTTCCTGAGTGACTGCATGGAGTATAGTTCCCTCGCGGGCCTATGTTGCAGGTGTATTATGAGCAAGAAACAAACCTTCATTATGTTAAGTTAGGGAAGTTTTCAGGTGATTTGTTACCACGGCATAACTTAGGTTTTCTTTATTGATATAGAAATTGGTTCTAGGAAGTGGGTGCTGCTATAACCAAATGGCTTAGTGGGTGATTTGTGGACAACAAGGACACTGGCTTTGGGGACTCCATCACAGAACACAGGAAAGTATTTGAATGACACTTAATTTTACCGGGGATGGCACATATCAGCGCCATCCTAAATACACAGGAGAGAAGGTAATCCGTTACACAGATGCCTTGAGGCACTAAGGACTAAATCTCTTTGGGAAGGAAAGCCATTTCCTGTGTACCTTGTGAGGCAGATTGTATCTTATAAACTTGTAGTTCTCAAACTTGAGTGTACCTCAGGATCCCCTGGAGGGCTTGTGGTAACACAGGTT